GTGAGCGGGTTCCGCTGCCCGCGGGCGGGCGGCGACGCGGGCGCCGTGTACTGCTGCGGCTTCCAGGACGTGAAGTACTGCTGCGATGACCCGCACGGCTTCTTCCCCTACGAGCACAGCTACATGTGGTGGCTCAGGTAGGGTCCGCGCCCGCTTCCTCCCCCCAGCCCCCAGGTCTCCTGGCTTCCCATCTCTTGGAAAGTTCAGCATGCCCCCCCGCCCCGGCGCCAGCTTGGCACGAGGCGGGAGCTGGGCAGCCCCAGGCTCATGTTTGACCCCGCCGGCTCTGTGCCCCGCGTGGGCCACGCGGCGCTTGTGGGGTGAGGGTCCCTCCGCGACAGGGTCCGCGCCCGCTTCCTCCCCCCAGCCCCCAGGTCTCCTGGCTTCCCATCTCTTGGAAAGTTCAGCATGCCCCCCCGCCCCGGCGCCAGCTTGGCACGAGGCGGGAGCTGGGCAGCCCCAGGCTCATGTTTGACCCCGCCGGCTCTGTGCCCCGCGTGGGCCACGCGGCGCTTGTGGGGTGAGGGTCCCTCCGCGACGGCCGCGCGAAAGGGGGCTGGCAGGGGAGCGCAGCGGGAGGGAGCTGGGCAGGGTACGGGGCTTTGTTCCAGAGAGAGAAGCTGTGGGAATCCTAGCAGAGACCGATCTTGTTCCTTTGAGAAAAGGAACCTGGTCTTTTGTGCAATAAAAAAAAGCAAAGGGCAGAGGTCTCGGCTGCCCGAATCCCGGGGGCTTAAACCGACTTACTCCAGCAGACAGCTTGGCCTTAAATCAGGAGGAAACCCCTGCTCTCTGCTCCTCAGGTAGCGGGCACTATGGCACAGCTGCAGTTTTCCCAGCCGGGAAGGACTGGTTGGGACGAAAGCTGTGCTTTTTAGCATCTGTTCTTTGATTTGCCAGCCAGTCAGTGTTGAGCAAAGGGATGCTATCTCTTAAAAGTATGCCAGCTTGGAGCAGTGGCCAGAAACTGGGGAGCAAAGACGCTGTTTGCAAGAAAACAAAATATTTCAATAAAAGTTGATTCCTCCTTCCAGTCCTTGCCTTTAGACTGCGAGGCGCTGGATACCAGCATTGAAAGAAGAACTGCTGCAGCCGGGGGGGCTGCCTTGAGGACTGCCATGTAACGTGGCCACACTAGAGGTGCACCGATACATCAGTCCCATATCGGATTGGCACCAATATAAGGAAAATTGAGGCTGATGATGTGGCCAATAAATGCTGCATGCACGTGCTCAACCGCAGCACAGCACGCAGATGGCCAGGAGCACAGCCTGGCACCTTGGAGAGGAGCCACGTCCAGCTGGTAAGTCTGTTGTGGGGGAAGAGGTGCGGGGAGGAAAGGGCATGGTGGGGGTGGGGGGCAGATCAAGGCCCCTATGGTGAAGGAGGGAGTAGGGCTGGAGCAGGGACATGGGACTGACCTGTGGCTTGTCCAGGGGGTGTGGGGGGGGAGGGCAGCTCCCACCATTACACACACCCCGAGAAGGCAGATCTGCACGCAGGGTGAGGGTGGGCTGCCGCTGCAGGCTGGGGCTGGGGCTACGCTGGGTTCCTCCTGGTGGGGGAGCTAGGCGGGCTGTACTTGGGGCGGGTGGCAGCAGTGCTGGGAGGAGGGGTTGGGGGGGCTAGAGCCACCCCAAAATTTGCTGTAGCAACACTCCCAGCACTGCTGCCACCCACCTGAAGCTGAGTCCGACCCAGCCCCCCGCTGGGAAGAGCCCTGTGCAGCCCTAGTCCTAGCCCACAGTGGCAGCCCGGTCCCAGCCCATGCAGAGATTTGGGGGGCACATGCCCCACATGCCCTCCCAGGGTGTGCACAGCACTGGGAGCTGCCCCTCCCCCAACCGGACAAGCCACAGCCCTGTCCTGTGCCCTTCCCTGCCCTGCCCCACTCCCTCCTTCACCCCAGGGGCCTTGATCTGCCCCCTCCACGCCTCTTCCCTCCCCCCTTACCCTCCCTCACAACAGATGTACCAGCCAGTGGCCGCTCTCCACGTTGTGGGGCTGCACATTGGCTATCAGAGCAGTATTGGCCAATATGGCTTGTTTAAAAATTGGCATCGGTATTGGCCTAAAAAATCTCTATTGGTGCACCCCTAGGCCACACAGTAAAGCCCTGTGGTGGGTGTGTGCAGGATAGAGGAAAGGGCTATCAGTAATAAAAGTCATGATCCATTTTTCTGGAAAACCACTGGGCATCCAGCAAACTTTACCTGATGTTCTAGGCTTTTAACTGGGCTATTTTTCCAATGATTTTTATTGGCTTTTTTAATATGTAACTTCTTTTTAAAAAATCTGAACTATTGGAAATGCTTTGTTTGCAGCATTGCCATGTTGTGTTCTGAACCAATTAGCTTCACAGCCTCAGCTGGTTAGCTTGGGTCTTTTGTGAGATGAGAGACATCGGGGTGTTACTTAAATACAGTATCTTGACAGTACTTCAGTCAGGGCTGTTTGGATTCATGCACAGTTAGGAAATAGCTTGACTTTAGCAAGGCTTTTGATACCGTCTCCCACAGCATTCTTGCAAGCAAGCTGAGGAGGAATGGGTTGGATGAATGGGCTGTAAGGTGGATAGAAAGCTGGACTCAATGGGTAGCAATCAATGGCTCAATGTGTAGCTGGCAGCCAGCATCAAGTGGAGTCCCAGGGGTTGGTCCTGGGGCCAGTTTTGTTCAATATCTTCATTAACGATCTGGAAGATGGCATAGAGTGCAGCCTCAGCAAGTTCGCAAATGACACCGAGCTGGGGGGAGTCATAGATACAACGGAGGGTCGGGCTAGGATTCAGAGTGACCTAGACAAATTGGGGGATTGGGCCAAAATAAATCTCATGAGGTTCAACAAGGACAAGTGCAAAGTCCTGCACTTAGGATGGAGCAATCCCATGCACCGATACAGGCTGGGGCTGACTGGCTGGGCAGCAGCTCTGCAGAAAAGGACCTGGGGGTGATAGTTACAATAAGCTGAATATAAGCAGCAGTGTGCCCTTGTTGCCAAGATGGCTAATGGCATCCTGGGCTGCATGGGTAGGAACGTTGCCAGCTGATCAAGGGAAGTGATTATTCCACTCTAGTTTTCACTGGTGGGGCCACATCTGGAGTACGGTATCCAGTTTTGGGTCCCCCACTATAGAAGGGATGTGGACAAGCTGGAGAGAGTCCAGCAGAGCAACAAAAATGGTTCGGGGGTTAGGGCACATGACTTATGAGGAGAGGCTTAAGGCACTGGGTTTCTGCAGAAAAGAAGACTGAGAGGGGATTTGAAAGAAGCAGATCCCTTCCTGGTTCAAGTTAAATCACATTCCCCCAGCATCCCAGCATGCTTTGCAGCCTTGAGCTGGGCTATATTGTCTGCTCCAGAGAGCAGGGCTAGCCCTGCCCCTGTGCTCCTGAGCTGGAGCAGTGAGGACTGGCTCACTGGCCCTTGCCCCCTGGCAAATCCTGGCTGGGGTCTGGGGCCAGGGAGGGGGGTTAAACGCGCCTTTCTCCGAATACAGAGCTGTCCTGCCCTGCTGGCTTACTTAGTGCTGGCTGTGACTGTGGACTACAAATCCCAGAAGCACCTAGAAGCAGGAAGAGGAAGTGATGAGTAACCCTGCAGAGTCCTGCAGTTGTGTTTGTGGATTGCAACTCCCAGAGACCTTGGGGGCAGCAGAAAGAGGAAGGGAACACACAGCCCATGCTGGCCTTGTGCCCGAGAGCTGTGCTCCAGCACCCCGCAGCTTCTGGCCTGAGCCACTGCAGGCATGTGGCTGCATTTCCTGAACCAAAAATGAATGTCTGTTCATTTGCTTATTGGTTCAATCTTTGCAGCTTGGACTAACCTGCAAAGACTGAATCAATTCAGCCTCCAGCTTTTTGACTGTCTGTACTTACCCCTGGAGACACTGAATGCACATGCTGCAAGGTGTTGTGGGTTCTCACCCCAGCAACTGCTGCACTGAGCCTATGAACACACACCTCCTGCCCATGTGCGGCATAAAAGCCACAGTATTTCTTCCTCTTGGCACAAATGGGAAGTAAGGAGAATGGTTCTGAGTGAGCACACTGATTGTGATGCATGCAGCTGCCGCCAGCCCCTTGAACTTTTATTTTGCACTGTTGAAAATATCTTTTGAAGTATTTTATTGTTTGCTACTGTTCAATAAAGTCTTCATTCATGAAAAATCATGGTTTATTTACTTGGTCTGACAAAGAAAAGGCTACGTCCCAAATAGTAAATTATGGTTAGCAATTCAGCTAAAATGTGTGTGCAGCCAGGTCAAGAGCAATTAATTCGTAAAACTTGATGCATTAACAGTCCACTATGATGGGCAGTCAGATATGTTCCTGCCGCTCCCCGTAGCTGTACAGCCCTTTGATAGACTTTTGTAACGGCCCTTGAGTCTCCCTCTTCAAAGCCTGCAGTTATTCTTTCCTCTCTCTGCTGCTATGAATTATCTTCTCCAGCACTTCAATACAAACACCACCACATGCAGGAACACTAGAGCAATATCTGACCTGCTGAGGTCCAGCCTCCTCATGAGACATCTCCAGCTTCTGTTAAAATTTACCATGCTCAACAATCATTCTTCACTTGCTCTGGCAATCCTTCAATCTTCCCTTACTCCCACTGAGCAAGGATTAATGAGCTAGGGGTGCAAGAGGATTGACTTGAGCATACCAGAATCACTGTTGGCATTGCAAAACCAATGATGTGAATGTGCTGCGCTGGGAACAGTGTCCTTGTTGACAGCTTCTCAACAGGGCCTGAATGCCTAAAGATGTGAGTAGCAAGCAGTTTCCTGACAATCAATGTGAAACATCCTCAGCGATCAATCAGCATGCAGATTATGGAGGAAAAGCACCTGTCTCCGTGTATGCAGTCGGCAGCAAGGAGGGGAAAACAGAAGAGCGGCATGTTGCCCGGCTGTTATTCCACTGAAGTGTTGGCAGCCCGTTGCTTCACATCCCTTTGTTACTTCCAATGCCCAGTCCTGTGGAGCGGTCATGTTTAATGTCTTTGTTTCCCTGGATAACAACTACACTTGCTCTGCACCTGCTATGAATTTTCCCATTCAAAACTGATTGTCCACTGACTGATAGTAACCTGGGATTGCAAACTTCTTGCATGCCATTGCCACCCATTTCTCCAC